TAACATTGCTTCAGGAAAAAGAGTTTAATTGCCCATCACTAGAGCCCTTACCCATCTAGTTTTCTTGCGAAAAGTTAGAGCAACCATTTCCCAACCCCAATTGAATAAATTTCTTTTGTGATTATTTAACCCCACAAACGCTTCCAAATAAGAGAGTTACCCTTTTTATATTAACAAGCTAAGGGATGTCTTTTTAAAAAAATCTTAAGAGTGCATAAAATTATCCCACATGGTATCATCTCTTCTAAAGGCCCACTTAAGTTTAAATGAAAATTTTTTAGTGATATTATTAATCTGATATTCTGATTAAAACCTAAACACGTTCTATTTAATTCCTCACAACAATTAATCCAAGAAGCCCAGCGAATCTTTTTACCATGAGAAGAAGAACCCCAAAGGAACTTATTAAGAGATCTTTCAACAAACTTTCAGCTTGGGAATTTCAAACTGGCTTTTTTTGTAGATTTACTTTGATTAGAAGTGTTCTTTCTTGTATAGCAATTTCTTATTGCAGACTCTCAATCAACTCATTAAATAATGAAGATCTCCTTGTACCTTAAAAAAGAGGAACATCCTAGTATTTTATAGGAAGAGATTGAAAGGAAAAGCCCATGATCGTTTCAATGACACTAATTTGCCTATTGGGCATGTGTTTAAAAACAAGAAAATAACTTTTATCAATAGTAAGACCAATTTTTTTCTCAAAAGGAGGACGCATATTTTCTAAATGACATTTGTAAGCTTTATTGTTTGATGTTAGGTATCATTTTAATTCTCCTCATGGAATTTTTATTTTATTGCACTTCTTTTACCGAAGATGTTTGTTAACTAGACAATATTCAAGTAGAGTATAACTCACTAATGTTTGTGCTTATCATGAAACTTTGTCCTTCATTTTTCTGGATGATTATATTATAAAGTTGCATTGTAATGTGACGAGCTAATCATGCGTTTTTGGTTTGCTGATTTTCTTGTAAGGTTCTGGATCAGTATTATCCAGAAGTCATTAAATCAAGTCCATCAATTGGACGTCATGGGAAGGCTCTGCGACGCCAGCTGATGAGAAGAGCAATAGAATCTCAATTTGGTGCAGAAAGTACCTTATACTCTTTTCAATTGAAGGATGAAAATAATACAGTCAACAAATCCATTGATATGCAATCTGATGAAATTAAAGTAACTGAAGAACATTATGACAGGAGAACACTAAAAGGTCCTGCTAGGCATTTCCTATCGGATGCATTTTGACTTACGAATAGTTAATACATCATCAATCATGATGAATCCTATCCAAAATTTAAGTTTAGTTTGCTTATTTTTACACTGCAGAGAGTAGAAGTACAAACTCAAAAGCATTTTCAGAGCAGCCCTGTCATTCTGAAGTATATGAAGAAGCTCGATATTCTACATGCTCTGACAGATATGTACTCTTTGAAGAATTCAGCAAGTCTGGACTAAAGCATCTTGGGTTGGAAAGTCCACAGGACTTCAACTTGATTGAACTATGGATGAGAGCTAAACCTTTCTTTGTATGATTTTACCCAATGCTTTTCTTGATACCTACTCTAGATATTATTTTGACTTTTGACTTGGTCTATCATACTCTTTGCCCATATTTATCCTACTATGACTGAGTCTTTTTTCATTTTTGAGCTAAGTTAAAGTTAATAGAACAATAGTGTTCGAAGTTTCATTGCATTCAATCTACCTGAGAGGCTAAATACACAGGAACCAGATATCACAATGTTACTAAGGGTAATTTAGATTTTTACTATTAATTAATGGATTGGTTAAGAAAAAGATTAAAACATTCTTTAGGAGTTATAAGAGTATTTCAAAATTGGACAACTAAACCAAGACTCATAATAGATGATCCAAAGTGCTAGTTGTCCTTTTATAAGCACAGTTTTTGGTTCTTTTTGGATTAGCTTTAACTTGGCTATTTTGTTGCTTAGCGGACTTAAACTATGATTTCATAATATTCGTATTTGAATACGTAATCTTCACTGCCTTGTCAGTTTTCTCCATTTCTCTGTCTATTCTTTTACCCTTTTCCTATTTTTGCTGAAGCTCCTAAATTTATCCCTTCTTTTTCACTTGTATCATATTTGCTCACTGTCGAGTGTTGAACCTTATCATTGGTGCCACCACCTCGCCTATTGTGCTCAACTATCTTCCCATCATGGCTGCCTAGCCTCCAAATAATTTCCACATTCTCTTCTAGTGATTGAGGAGGTATTATCCTTGGTAGGTTCTATTAGCAAGAGGAAGAATAAGGAACCAAGTACTAATTGTCAGCAAAGACAGGTGGCACGTTTAAGTTTAATTGATGCACCATGAATATCTTAGCCTTAAGATGGAGTGTTGATTTGTTGCTGTTGAGGAAACTTTGTAATGTTAAATAATATCTTGTAATTCCTTGGAAGATTATTTTTGGTCTCAGGTTCTAGAGAGATTATCTTTAAATCTAAAAATGATAAGCGTCATTTTGGCTTCAAGGCTGATCATACCAAAGATATCATTTTCTTCAATTTAGCTTATTATATATTTCTTATTTTATCTGCAGAATGTAAGGAAGATTAGTATTAGAATTTTACTTAACGTAAACCAAATACCTCTGATATGTTAGATTGAGTTTTGCAGAAATGGTTATTGCACTAGCCTGATATTTCAGTTTTCTCAAACAGCATCTGTGTATTTAATACTTCATTGCTGCTCATAATATTGTTATTTTTGGAGCTTTCATGTGCTAATGAATTGTGTCAGTGTCATCTTCTATTATGTTACTTACCTCATCGCGGTGATATTTCTGAAACCTTCAATCCTGTTTATCATCATTCGTTCTACCTTTTCATGCAGGAATTCATAGGTCCATACTGGTCTCTACGCGCTTCCTTGGGGCCACTGATTGAAACTTATATTTTACTAGATAGATTGTTGTTTCTTCAAGAGCATGGTAATTTTGCAGAAGTACAGTTGGTTCCATTATTTGATCCGACCCTGTCACCGAGAAATGTAGCAATCGTGGCACGAAAAATTGATGCAAATATAGCCAATACATAAAGTGGTAGTTGTTCTATTTTTTATCCTCTGTGTATACCTTTGATCTAACTGTTTAGTGCTAAGCTGTGACAGTGTTCTTTGGGTTCAATAAATTCATATTTTTCCCATAAAGTGACTTGAATCCTTGAAAAGTGCTTGCTTTTCCTTTATGTAAGTATAATGCCCTTTCAATGACTTTTCAGAACATAGTTCTAACTCACTGAGATATCAACACATTAATGCTGACGTGTGGCAATTTTTTTTCCTAAGTTAAGTGTTGCAAAGATGAGGATGTTTAGGTGAATGACCTTAGAAATAGGATATGAAATGAGCATATACGTGAAAAAGTTGGAGTAGATTCAGTGGAAGATAAGATTAGAGAGAGTTGCCTTAGATGGTTTGGTCACATTAAACGGAGGCCTTTCGATGACTTGGTAAGGAAAGTTGAGGTATTAGATTTGACATATGTTAAGAAAGGCAGAGGTAGGTCTAAAAAGTCTTGGTTAGAAAATATTAGAAATGATCTTTCTTTATT